GGAGACAAGGGAGTGTGATCCTGATGTCAGCAGTGAGTTGTTCCTGGATGCCCGGCACCGGGGAACTGAGAGTCGTAAGGAACAGTTGCGCAGTTACAGGAGGTGATTGTACTCAGCTGCTGGTAATTAGGCTCCTGTCCAGACTATAAAAGGAATGCTTGTGCACACGCCCCTTTTGCAGAAGTCAACGCATTAACAAATGTTGGAGAACAGTATTGTGAGCTTGGCAGGCTGGATTGCTGCCACGGCTTATCTGTGTTGGATTGCTACCCGGACTTCTTGTGCTGGTTTGCTGCCAAGGACTTGTCTGTCTGTTAATAAATTCCGTAAAGTATCTTTGACTCGGAGTGTGTTGGTGTGGGACGAGGGGGGTCAGAACAGTGTGAGATGGGGTTGCACTGCCCTAGATAGACCCAGTGCACATCTTGGAGGTCCTCCTAGATTCCTGCTTGTGTAGGTGGTCATCTTAGACTTTTCACAGCTTTGTGTTATGTGCCAATTATTCCCCCCTCCTCAATTTTGTGGGTCTATTCCTGGTAATTCACAACCTGGTCAGTTTTTGGCTGCACTGCTATAATACACTCTCCATGGAGCTTCCCTTCAAAAGTGTCTGGAACCTTCAACTGGTGCAGAATGCTGCAGCACCTTGAAGTGGTACACATTATACACTTCTGCTCCTCAACTTGCATTGGCTGTCACTTTGCTTCCATGTCCAACTCATGGGGTTTGGTTTTGACTTTTGACCCTTCATGGCATGGGGACAGGTTATTTGAGGGACCACCTTTTCCCAGTTACAAATGTCCATCTCATCAGATCTGGCAGAAGAGGTATGCTATGAAGCAGTTATATCTGGCAGAATCCAGAAAAGGGACCTTTTCTGTTGTAACACTTGCTCTATAGATCATCTTCCTTCCCAAGGTGACCCATTTCCTACTGTCTTTTTGGAAGTCCCTCAAAACGTGGCTGTGTTAACAGGTCTCAGGGTCTCCAGAGAAGGTTGGTCTCCTGAAGTAGCTTCTTTATTCTTAATATCTAACACTCTTACTGTAGCCTTTTAAACAATAACAAGCTTTGAATGGCATTCTCTTTGAATATTATTTTATTGTACACTGCCCAGAGTGAGATAGCCGGCCATATGGATATGATTTATAAATAAATAGAATTTCAAAAATTGACCTTGGAATATAACTATTGCAAAGGGGTGAGCAAGGAGAAAGTACATTTGGTGATAGCACCAAATTATTTAAGATGATTAAAACAAAGTTAAGGAAATACAAAAGTACCTCACCATGCTGGATAATGGTTGCAAATACAGTTCAGTTAAACCAAGCTGAAATTTGGGGCCAGTTTCATTAATCCAAATTCCACCACTAAATAATGGCTAATATAAAAGAGATCATGATATTTAGTGGACTGCTTGATGTGAAAGAAAAATATAATTAAGCATATAATTAAGTATGGTTATATTGTAAGCAGATATTAAACTGATTATGAAACTAAGGGTTCAGTATAGATAGAAAAAAGTTTGTCAAACTGATTTGTTTAAGTATAGAATTTATCACAAAGTATAGCAAGCTTCACTAATCTGAACAGCATTGAAGGGATTAAGGAAACTTCATGTAGAATAAAACTATCAATACTTATAATGGTTACATATTCAGTATATATGCATTACTTACAGTGCCTGAGGCAGAATGCCCCTTAATGCCTTATGTTGGGGAGAATAAACAGCAAAATGCTACTGCATCTGTGTCTTCCTTATGGAATTCTCATTGGCATGTGCTTGTTTACATATGAACAAGACTTTGAACTGGACTTTTGGCCTGATTTAGATGGCTGTTTTGGATTCTAATTCTGTATTTGTTCTCCCTCAGGGACATAGATGTGAACATTAAATAATGTACAATTATGTAATGCCCTTAGCAATAGGTCCATGGTTCTTATTTTGTTCACACACTGACCATTGGAACAAAACATATCATTAAAAGAGACATCATAACTTTCTCACTCTTCTAGTATCTAGGGCAGTGTTTCTCAACCGTGGCAATTTGAAGATGTCTGGACTTCAACTCTTCAACTTGAAGTCCAGAGATCTTCAAGTTGCCACGGTTGAGAAACACTGATCTAGGGGGAGGTTTTGGAAGACTGAATCTTGTCCCAAAGGTGCTTTTTCAAGAGGTAACTGGAATTTCTGGTGGTTTTTTTTGAAGACATTTCACTTCTCATCCAAGAAGCTTCTTCAGCTCTGAGAGTTGTGGCTAAAGAAGCTTCTTGGGTAAGAAGTGAAAAAACACCTTTGGGACAACCATGACCCAGATAACTGAGAATCTCCAAAGACAGAATCTTGCAAATGCTAGCTATAGAAAAACAAATATGTAATTCAAATGTAACCAACTACAGGTAGCCCACGATTAATTACCATTCATTGAGTGACCATTCAAAGTTACAATGGCACTGAAAAAAAATGACTTATGATCAGTCCTCACATTTAAAATCTTTGCTGCATCCCCACAGTCACGTGATCAGAATTCGGTCATTTGGCAACTGGCGTATATTTACAATAGCTGTAACATCCCAGGGTCAGGTGATCCTCATTTGTGACCTTCCCAGCCAGCTTCTGACAAGCCAAGTAAACGAGGGAGGCCGGATTTGCTTAATGACCATATGATTTACTAAATAACTGCAGTGATTTTCTTAACAACCGTGGCAAAATGATCATAAATTGGGACATGACTCGCTTAACAACTGCCTTGCTTAGCAACAGAAATTTTTGGCCCAACTGTGGTCGAGGACTACCTGTAATAAGTTAGAGTCAAGTCCTAAGATACTATGAATATTTGAAACAGAACTGACTCAAACTGATAATCATTATTTGAAAGAGCACTAAATCAACTGTCGATGCTCCAATATACCCAAATCTTAATTATACTTCCCCCCCTCCTAAAAAGCCTAAAGTTTATTTCATTTTTAGACCTCTCCTGAACACAAGCATCATGTATATCAAGGGGGAGGGGGAAAGGACTCAGGGAACACCACTTGACCAACAAGAAAAGCAATTAAACTGAACAGAACAAATCATATTTAAATGAAGATATATACTCACACTATATGGGCAAGGTCAAGGGGCTTCTCTGGCTGTTCCGGATATACAGGGTGAGGAGGATCTCTAGTGGGTACACAACCAAGAGATTTACTAATGGCATGGCTCAGCTTCTTGGCAGGCGATTTCTGTTTTTTTTTTTAGAAAGAATTAAACATAGAGACTAGTATTAACACAGCAGATCAATCTGTGCAGCACACTAGATAAGAGCTGCAATTGAACCTCAAAAGAAACAACTCTCAGTGCTCAAGCCACAGCCACAGCCTTGGAGACCCACCTGGGTTCCCTAGAAGAGGTCCATGGCTCATGCTCTCTCCTCAACATTTCACTGCCTTGTGAATACTGTACTACATATGTAGAAGGAGAATTTATATTCCAGTGATTACTTTGCAGGCTGAGCAGAAGATTACTCTCCCTCTCTCCTCTCTTATTTATCATATCCAAACCTGCTTACCAATACCTTGCTCTAGAGCAGATGTGTGAAACACACGAATCTGAATTCGGCTGGTGGTAGGCCCAGAGTTGTCCTGCGGGGCTGCCCCGGAGATAGCGAGGGACCATCCCAGCCATGCCCACCCAATCAGCCGTGATGACCAGGCCACACACCCCACATCCCCACCCCCGAGGGCAAACAAAATCCTGATACGGCCCACAGTGGGATTGAGTTTGACACCCTTGTTCTAGAGTCTTTCTTGAGAAATGGGACATTAGAACATGGCTGGGAGGGATTTATTTATTATTTATTTTAATTGGTTTACATGGCTGCCCATCTCACAACTTTGGCAAATCTGGGCAGCAAACATACTTAAAAAATTAGAAAAACAGTAACAACAAATATGCATATAGTGGCAGCTGAGGACAACAGTAGTCACAATCACAGCACTTGTGTCACAGGCCTCATTAATCTCCTGACACCCACATCTCGGAATACCGACACATTTTTAAAGATTTCCAGATCTCAGGGGTCTGGTATTCCGGAAGTCACGAAAGAGGATGATTATTTTGGACAGCAGGTGGTAGTGTAGTATTTCCAGCAAGGTTAATAACGCTGGCAAATTCTCTTCTGTTAATGGACAGAAACCAGCCTGCCTTTCTGTCTGATCTTCTGCCATTCAGGATATTCAGCCCCTCTATTTTGCAAACAAGATAAATTATTTTCAAGGACTAATATGGAGACGTAGTGAGCTGTTTTAACTTTGAAGAGTGGAACATAATCAGGAAAGCCAATATTTTGTTTCCACAGATTCTTTTTAGCAATGTAATTAAGAAGTCAGTCTCCCCTCCCCCAACTGAAAAAGTACTTTCTGGGAAAAAGGAGAAACCACAAATGCATGCAATGACACATGGACTCATTATACAAGATGTGTGTTAAACCATCTTTTAAAAAAAAAGTTATTGTTGTCACAGTGTGAAAGTTCATTGAGTTCACCAAGTATAAATCTACAGTAAGGTAAAGGTAAACGTTCTCCTTGCACATATGTGCTAATTGTTCCCGACTCTAGGGGGCAGTGCTCATCTCCATTTCAAAGCCGAAGAGCCAGCGCTGTCTGAAGTTGTCTCCGTGGTCATGTGGCTGGCATGACCAAACGGTGAAGGTGCATAGAACACTGTTACCTTCCCACCGAAGGTGGTTCCTATTTTTCTACTTGCATTTTTACGTGCTTTTGAACTGCTAGGTTGTCAGAAGCTGGGACAAGTAACGGGAGCTCACTCCATTACGCGGGCTAGGGATTTGAACTGCCAAACTGGCGACCTTTCTGATCAACAAGCTCAATATCTTAGTTACTGAGCCACTTGCTGATCTACAGTACTGTACTCAATTCTAAGACAATGTTTAGGTTTTAAGAACATGTGAATATTTGGCAAGGATAAGAGAGGAAGATGGAGCTTAAAAAATCACAGTGAGATATGCTATAAT